AGGAGCTCCGGAAGGATAAAAGGAGGAGTGACGACAGTGAAAGACGAGAGAGGACCAGGCCTGGACTTTATTTTGTGTTTTGGTTCTGTTTGTGCGCGACAGTCGTCCGCGAGGGGCTATTTTGTGTTTGTTTTATTATTAAAGTTTTCTTTAAATGTTTGCCGGTTCCCGCCTCCTTCCCGTGACTACGAACTGTGTTACAGTAATATAAGTCTCTGGTGTCCCCAGAATGTGTCTGTTAAGTTTCAGCTCAAAATACTCCACGGATCATTTATTATAACATTTTGAAAATGTCTATTTTGAGTGGAAGCAGAAACACGCTGTTTTTCGGGCCTGTTTCTTTAAATGCAAATGAGCTGCTGCTCCCCGCCCCCTTTTCCAGAATAGAGCTGCGCCTTTACAGCTCGTACCTGCTAAAACATCTGTTTTGGTTCTGATTATCATGTTTATCGCACTGAAATCATGCGTTTTAAACCATATGAGTTTAAACTCCTGATATATGGTTTTCTGAGCGCACGCATCTGAAGCACACGCACAGAAAGCGGCTGTCACAGCATGAGTTCTAAACTAAGTTCTCATTCACACACAAGTTTACGTTAAAACCACACACACAAGTTACAAAAACAGTCGGTTATGTCTGTGAAGGTAAGCAGCTGGGAAATAAATCGCATGTTTATTTGAGATCTGTGTGGCAGCAGCAATATACAGTAAATAAATCAATAAATGCACTTCTCTCATCTCCTCTGACGCTGGGACTCTAAACAGTGTTCTGTGCTCGTCTGTGCAGCCAAAGACAGAACAGTTAGCGTGTTTAGCTCAAACTTTCGCCATGGCATTAGAACTAATACACCGTTGTCGCTTGTGAAAACACAATAACGGAGCCATGGGTGCAAACTTACAGATTAAGGGGCGGTAATATTATAATGAGATCCCTTTGCCACGTCACCAAGGGAGTGAAATCAGACGCGCTCATTTTCTTAAAAGCTTGCAGAAAAAGGCTTACCTAAACAAAGTTACGGGGTTAATCTTTTTCACGTTTCCTTGGCTGGTAGATGCACCGGGGACCTGATTATTGCATTTAAAACCTGGAAAAGTCAGATTTTCATGATATGTCACCTTTAAGTAAATAGAGCTTTGTGCAATAGGCCGATAACTTATTGTATAGGTTGTGATTTTATTAAATTAATTTAATTTATTGTAATTCGATAGCATGTTTCAGAGCAACACTGTGTCATTTACACGTGAGCAGCCAAAGTAAAAAGCTTGATGGTTTATTGTTTGAAAATGATCAAGTCAGACATAAATATTAGTATTTGAATAAAATTATCATGTTTTTTTTCTTAAATACTTATTTAAAATTTTTACTGTTAAACAGTATAATTTTGGATCTGGTACCATGGTAATACCATGTTTTTTTCTCTTATACTATGGTAGTAGAATGGTTTTTTTTAATTTTTTTTTATCTGGTACCATACCATGTTCTTGACATCCGTCATGACATTGCAATGGATTTTTTACTTGCACCATGGTAATACCATATTGTGAATGTTTTTTTTTTCCACTTACAGTATGGCAATACCATATCATGGCAATGGCATGGTTTTTGTACATGCACTATGGTCATACTATGTTTTTTGGATACGTTACCATGGTAGTAGCATGTTTTTGGCATTGCCTGCTGTAAAGTTCATACTCCCCAGGACAGTGTTGCCTTTGTATTCGAGTTATCAGTCTAAGCTTCTTTCTATTTTCATTATTTCGTATCTCTCTTTTGATGCACTTTGAACATTTTTCCCAGAGTTCTCGGGTGTGGTGCCGTTTGGTTCCCCGATGTAATATTTCAGATCAGATGGTTTCATTACCTGATTCTGCCTCTTTTATTATACAGCACAATGAAAACCCTGCTTCTATTTCCATCAGACTCTCACAATTAGCGGTCGATGGATGTGTTTAGTGTTTGGATTAGTGTTTCACTCTTATCAATGAGCTGTGAGGTTTCCGTCATGGGCGTGCTGAGGAATGTAGGTCGCCGGGTTTAGAAAAGCTGTCAGTTTTTAAGGCGTAGGACATAAACATCTGAGAATGTGAATGATATCACCTGACCGGCCCTGTTGTGCTGTTAGCCGGTGTTTAGTCAGCTGAGAACACGTGGCAGTATTGTCTGCATCTGAAGGTCCTGCTGATAGTTCGTGCAGCTCTTCTTGTTTTGAGTGTGCGGCTCAGAGCCTTGTAATGACTTTTTCCACAAGTAATTTTCCTGTGAGTCTTTGAAAAGAAAGGAATAGTTTATTTACATGGTATTTTCCATGATGGAATGCTAGGCCAGCTCACAATAGATGCACAGTGAATCTCAGTAGACACGTCCAGGTCAACATTCATCACAAAATCAAAACACACATGATAAAAAGGAATTCGGTTTTAAACATTAAAGACTCTTTGCACCGTTTTCAGGGCTATTAAGCAAATTTCAACCAATTTTAAGTTTAGTCAATTTAAATTTATCTTTAAAAAAATCTACTTGCATATAATACCTTTATAAATATAATATGTAATATTCATTCATAAAAAGAATGCTGAAAAAATGTATCACAGTTTCCACAAAAATTATAAGCATCACAACTATTTTCATAATCAAAAATGGTTCTTAAGCAGAAAATCAACATATCAGAATGATTTCTGAAGGATCATGTGAGAATTTTTTGTGGAAACAGCAATACTTTTTTTCAGGATTATTTGATGAATTAAAAGTTCAAAAGAGCAGCATTTTTATTTATTTACAGGTGCATCTCAGTAAATTAGAATGTCGTGGAAAAGTTCATTTATTTCAGTAATTCAACTCAAGTGTCAACAGAACCTGTAGTTAAAATGACGGCCATCTTAAGAAGTTTTACATTTTAATTTTTGATTAATTTAATTTTTTACATGGATGCTGTGACTTATGAGTCAGACTGAAGTCACTGGTTCTTAAAAGTCTCGTTCACTTCCCTTTGAGAATTAATTAGTGTGATGTTCATCATCATTTACAGCACGCCATTGATGTCTCTTCACCTGCCACAAAATTTGCGTTTTGAACATAAATGCTAACATGTTTAATTTGTTTCCTAAAACACACAAAGACACGGCTGTGTAAACACGTGAAACCCTTACCGAAATTTTACATGTGGGAAAGCTGGCACATTCATAGCGCTTAACGTTTTCTATAACATTATACTCAGTTGAGCTGTTAACTGAAGCGCTGTGTTGCTGTGCAGGGTTTGTCTGGAAAGACGGAGGAGGTGAGCAGCACACGGCCAGAGATGCCCAGCACACTGACGGAGGTGGACAGGGAGGTCAGTCTGGACACGTATCAGATCACGCTGGAGGAGGTGCTCACCTGGTTGCTGTCGGCCGAAGACACGCTGCACATGCAGGACGACGTGTCCGACGACGTGGAGGAGGTCAAAGACCAGTTCCACACACATGAGGTATATGTGACACACAATAACACTTCATAAACGTTGGTAGCATTTAGAATGGCAAAAAACCATCATCTCTTTTTTCATTGAATTACTCTGGAAGATATAACATAACAATATAACATTACTGTGATTAAAATAAAAAAATAAAAATAGATGGGTAACGATGAATAACAAACTTTGATGTTGGCTTGACAAAGCTTTGTTATGAATTCAATGTCACATTTGTAATCATGGTAATATTTGGAGAAAAAGGCACTCTTCCGTGTGAAATTGAATAACTATATGAAGTGGTATAAATATATAAATGTTCTGCCATCATGTCTTGAATTTGTGATCATTCTAAATGCATTTTAATAGCCTGAATCATGCAGTGAAAGAAAACACACTAAATGCGCACACGCACTAGTCTAGACTTCACGTAATGTATGCGTGCGCTCTGTAGGGCTGTTTTGAATGGTTTTTGCAAAATACTCGATAATGTCAAATCACACATCGTTAAAACAACAATTACGATATTATCGCAGACGATATATATCGCACACCCCTAGTTTTTAGCATGGTTTAGCAATGTTTTCACATTTCTTGCATGTTGCTAATGATTAAGCATATCTTGACATGTTTCTGTCATGTTTTCTAGCATGTTTCTATCATGTTTTTTGCATGATTTAACATGTTTATCACGTTTCTTGCATGTTTTAGCATGTTGCTAATATGATTAAGCATATTTTGACATGTTTCTATCATGTTTTTAGCACGATTTAACATGTCTTAGCATTTTTCTAGCATGATTTAGCATGTTTTACGTGTTTCTTACATGTTTTAACATGTAGCTAGCGTGTTTTAACATGTTGCTAGCATGGTTAGCACATAGCTAGCATAAATTAGCATGTTACTAACATAATTTAGCACATCGTCCCAGAATATCCGTTAAGCTTTACTAGTGATAGACAACTTAAATGCACTATAAGTCTTACAAAAAATACAAAAGTTTTGACCCCCTCAATGAGAGTTTTTACTTTATTATTGTTTTGATCATCGGGTTTACGAAAAGTATATGTCAGATCAGTTAAAGATACAGCAGCCTGAGTCAGACCAGTCTGAATGTCTGACCTGAGTTTTGGTGGTTGTTGCTTGAAAACTTTAAGAGGAGATACAGACTAAATTTAGTCTCACATGAAGAAGAAGCAGCAGCAGCTTAAATAGGATTTCATTATGTTAATAACAAAATTCATCACACAATGAAACCGCCCACCGCTGCTCTTTTTGATTGACCTGAGGACTTTAAGTGTTAGCATGTCCCGTGTTCAGATGCTCCGTGTTCCCGTCTTGTCGGAGAACGTGCTCCGAACATGCCAGGAATGTGAGGAATTCTGTGAGGCAGAGAGACCTCAGACAGACAGCAGAGCCGGGGCACATAAACTCTGAACGGCACTGACGCAAAAACAAAAGCAAGGCAAATGCAGGAAAGCTCTGGAGATCCTCTGAGCACTGGGCTTTTCCTGAAGCTTGAACCTGTTTGTCTCTGCACTCTGGTTCCACTTGAAACATCAGAGATTTAGATAATGTGCAAATGGTTTGTTACATCATTTGTCTTTTTTGATCGTTTTTCTGTTTCGAGAATAGATCATAAGATACTGTGTGAATGCGTGGCACGTTTTCTTCTACTACACATACTCAAGCACAAGTCTCACTATATGAGGACGTGAACACGTGTACTTCATCTCCAGAGCTGCTCTGAGAGTCACTGCACCAGCATTTCACCCTTTCATTTGAGCAAAGCTATCGTCAAATACATTTTCTGAATCTGATCTTCACGGCAAACCACCAAAATAAAAGTTTGCTTTAACTTGAAGAAATTATGGCAGAAATATTTCAGCATTGCTTGAATTTAATCAGTAAACCTGTTGTGCAGCACATTTTTGACAAAATAAAAATTTAAATGCAATGATGTGTTGTAAAGGAATTGTGTGTTTTCATTTTAATACATTTTAATAGACTAATTACATAAAAAGATTCAATTTTATTCGATTTGATGTTTTTTGATTATAAATTTATAGTAAATCACAAAACACAAAATCCTGATTTCAAAGGGGCCCATTTTTGTTAAAGTTGTAATAAATGAATACATTTTCAGTAGGGGTGTAACGGTACACAAACATGACGGTTCGGTACGTACCTCGGTTTTGACGGTTTCAGTACAGTTTTTAAATTAAACAGTGGTTTACTGAACAAATTGCTTTTTCTTTAAATAAATTAAATTACAATTACAATTTTTCCTAGGGATAAAAATCTACCTCAGCTCCTGCTCTAAACTACAGGGAGCCCTTTTACAATACTATAAGATTACAGCTAACAACAGAGCCCAAACTTAAATTCAACTACTGTTTTTTTTTTTATATATTGTATGCAAACATGTAAGTTGCACATAATGCAGTTTTTAAATTAACTTTTAAATTATACAATTTCTATTTGTTGTTGAAATAGTCATTTACACAGTGGCTGTAATAACTTGTTTCATAAAAGATTTATCTAAACATACATTAAATAGTAAAGACATCATGAACTGGTAAAGTAAAATATAATGAAGAATATAGTCTAATATTTCTAAAAATGCTCTTCTCTAGACTTCCCTAGCAAATAACGAGCTGTGGACACTGATGACTTGCCTGAGGTAAATTAAATGCTACGTGGCATTTTGTTTACAAGCTGTTTTAATGACGTCTTTCCGCGGTTGAAACACTAATTAAACGATTACATGAGATGTTCATTTAATGTTTATTTCATGTTAAAACTAGTAATAAAGAGGAAAGAGATGATTATGCGCTCGCTCGCACTCTGCGCTGCCAAGGCTTCTGTACAGCGATCTGTCGCGCCTCATCAAAGAGTGCCAAAACGGCATTTATAGTCTGAATTTCCTGAAAAAAATGGAACGATTTGTTTGGTACATGTGCGCACCGAACCGAAAAACCCGTACCGAAAATTTTCAGTACGAATGCATGTACCGTTACACCTCTAATTTTCAGTAAAATTATTTTGTATTGTAACAAAAAGTTCAAATAGAAAACAGATGTGAAGAAAAATGAAGCAGACATATTTATAAAACATTGGATAAAGATATATAAATGGCCATAAATGAAAATCAACATAGATTAATAAATGCTGTAAAAAATGTATATTGATAGTTCATACTAATGTTCATACCCAACACATTTTATTATTAAAATGTTACCGTTCCCATGTATTTTTTGGCAAAAATAAAAGCCTACAGTAAGTATGATGAACTGTATTACTTGATGAAATAATTATTTTTAAATGCAATATGCAGTGCCTAAAACACAATTAACTATGGTAAAGTCATCATAATGCTCTCCCTCATGTCGATTTTTGCCATAATAAACCATTAAACGGTGCAGCTGCTTATTACATGACTACTTATCAAATAAATAAATGCATACATATTAAATTATTATGGTTATTATATAAGAAAACGTTCCTTCTCACACAACCACTGCCAATAAATCCATATAAAAAGGTACTGGGTTTCTTACGTAAAAATGCATTTATCTTAAAATATAGCATATTTAAACCTTTTTTTGCTTTGTTTAGAACCGTCTAAATGACTTGTACTCTAAGACATCTGTGAAGATGGTTTGTAGTCATCCTGGTAACTGATGTGTCGTCTTGTCTCCTCAGGCCTTTATGATGGAATTGACAGCCCACCAGAGCAGCGTGGGTAACGTCTTACAGGCGGGAAACCAGCTGATCGCTCAAGGCAACCTGAGTGAGGAAGAGGAGGATGAGATCCGAGAACAGATGACACTGCTCAACTCCCGCTGGGAAAACCTGCGGGTCGCCAGCATGGACCGTCAGTCCAGGTACGGACGCACACATTCCTGCCGAAGTCTTCTGTTTGAAGAGTGTGCTTGAATTTGTCATCTCTCCTTTGTCTTCAGACTTCATGAAGTTCTGATGAACCTTCAGCAACAGCAGCTCCAGCAGCTCTCTGATTGGCTGACGCAGACGGAGGGGCGGATCCGTAAGATGGAGAAAGAGCCAATAGCAGGAGACATGGAGGGCTATCTTGCCCAGATAGAGGAGCACAAAGTAAGAGAAGCATTTGATTCTCGAAGCAGGACTTGGTATAACCATCTATGTCATGGTGTGTCATGATACATTGTGATGCATCACAAAATTATACAGTCTAAAGGGTTTATTGAATAGTTCACCCAAAAATAAAAATATGCTGAAAATCTACTCACTACATTGGAGAAATGTAGTCATTTGCTCAGCAATGGGTCCTCTTAAATTAATGGGTGCCGTCAGAATGAGAGTCCAAACTGCTGATAAAAACATCACAGTAATCCACACCACTCCAGTCCACCAATTAACACTTTAGGAAGCCAAATACGAGTCCATAATATCTGATCCATGCATATTTCTCTCCTAATTCAGGCGAGATGACTTTTTCACTGGAGAAAGTGTTATATATTATGGACTCGTATTTGATCTGGAAGCAACAGTTTAAAGTTAAAACACGTTAATGATGAATTTGTTTATTACAAAAACAGCAGCTTTTCACTTCACACGCTGTTAATTGGTGGACTGGAGTGGACTGCTTGTGGATTATTGTGATGTTTTTATCAGCTGTTTGGACTCTCATTCTGATGGCACCCATTCACTGCAGAGGATCCATTGTAATGCTACATTTCTCCAAATCTGTTCTAAACAAACATTTGGGCTGAAAATTAAACCAGTGTTTTTTAGAGTGTAACTTGATCACAATTTGAAAATGATTACTAAGAAATATGAAAAAAAAATTGAGACAAAGTGTATACTTAGCTTTGATAAAGTCTCCTAAAATAGCAACCTCTGATCAATAAAAAGTTCCCAAGGAGACTTGAGTAGTTAATGAATGACTCTCATCAGAGATCCTGTCTGTGTACACAACCTGTTCACAAATAAAAGCTTTCTCTTTCTGATGCCCAATGTGAATTTATCATGAATGCTGAAAGGATAGAGGGAGAGGGAGATTGAGTTGTGAGAAGAATGAATAAGCAAATCAACACGCCCCAGTGAACGAGGGGCAAACACGACTTATAATGCTCAGGAACAGAGTTAAAAAGTAAATCGCAACCACTGTTTCCTGACATCATCCGCTTTCAGAAGCCAAACAAAGACGTTTGGGCATGGAGGTGAAAAAACAGCATTTCAGGTGGTCGCGCACCGGAAGAGAAGCGCAGCGTCGCGTCGCGTCGCTCCACATCTTTAAAATTCAAATACATTATTTTCTATAAGTGTAGGCACACCGGCGGCGCCGTTCGGCATCTGTCCACGGCGCCCAGCTATGTCGTGTTATACTTGTAAGAATTGTTGTAGACATGCCGAAAATTTGAAGCAGCAGCACAGCAGCTTCTTCTTCGTTTTCAAGTAAGGATTTCCAAGATGGGTTTTCCATGGAAAAATGTGTGCATGCTATTTTTGTAGAAATGAACATTTTCAGCAGTAGTTCAAGAATGTGCACAGTAAGCATTAAAGTAAAAACACACTTTGAATACATATGTTTACATATCAAACATAAGTTTTCAAGCATAACCAAAACCAGCATATCCAAGCATATCCAAGTCTCAATTTAACAGTATTTGACATGTCATAAAAAAATACAAATACACTTAACACCTATTATTTTTTTTTAAATCTCATTATCTGGTATTTTAAAGACACTTGCTAACCTTCGCACGCAATCATGGTGAACTGTGATGTGTCTTATTTTATTTTATTTTATTTCTGCATAAATTCCAAAAACATTTTAGTCAGCGATAAAGGTGTTTTTGTGCAGTGTTATCTTAGTATTATACAATATTATAGTATTTAGTTATTTATTATTAGCATTTATTAGTAATGCAAATTTTTATTAGTATTTAGTATTATTTAATAATTGTAATATTAAAATATCGTAATATTATAATATCATTATATTAATCATCAAATTTTGTTTTATTTTCAGTTCTCATTTTCATAGTTTAGTAATTTTTATGTGCTTTTGTCATTTTGGTTTTTTAATATTTCTATTTAGCTTTTATACATTTTTATTAAATTTTTTAGTAATGTTAGTACTTCCACTTAAATTGATTTCAGTTAGTTGCCAGGGCAACATTTCTCATTTTTAAGTAGTTTTTTTCTAGTAAGCATTAAAGTAAAAACACACTTTGAATACATATGTTTACATATCAAACATAAGTTTTCAAAACCAGCATATCCAAGCATATCCAAGTCTCAATTTAACAGTATTTGACATGTCATAAAAAAATACAAATACACTTAACACCTATTATTTTTTTTTAAATCTCATTATCTGGTATTTTAAAGACACTTCGCACGCAATCATGGTGAACTGTGATGTGTCTTATTTTATTTTATTTTATTTCTGCATAAATTCCAAAAACATTTTAGTCAGCGATAAAGGTGTTTTTGTGCAGTGTTATCTTAGTATTATACAATATTATAGTATTTATTCATTTATTAGTAGTATTTAGTTATTTATTATTAGCATTTATTAGTAATGCAAATTTTTATTAGTATTTAGTATTATTTAATAATTGTAATATTAAAATATCGTAATATTATAATATCATTATATTAATCATCAAATTTTGTTTTATTTTCAGTTCTCATTTTCATAGTTTAGTAATTTTTATGTGCTTTTGTCATTTTGGTTTTTTAATATTTCTATTTAGCTTTTATACATTTTTATTAAATTTTTTAGTAATGTTAGTACTTCCACTTAAATTGATTTCAGTTAGTTGCCAGGGCAACATTTCTCATTTTTAAGTAGTTTTTTCTTATTTCATCAAAATGTATATTTTAAATTTATATGTATTTAGTTAACAAACATTTTTATGATTTAAAGTATGAAGTATGACCTGGTGAACTCTGGTTGAGAGTGAGGAGAGGTGAATCTGCAGGACTCTTCTGGGTAATGTAGTTTGGCCTGTTTTCTAGGCTCTTTGTGCTGAGATAGAGCAGCAGCTGGAGGAGGCAGCAGAGCAGCAGGCCTGGACTGAGCTCTCCACCGCCGCCCAGGATCAGCTCAGCATGCTGCAGTGCATTCTGGGTAGCATGAAGGACACAAAGGTGAGAGCTGTGCCATCAGCCTGATTCAGATGCTTGTCTTAACATGGATGTGGTGTGTTTTGATGGTGGTGTTGATGTGGATCAGGTGAAGAGTGAGGAGGTGGAGCGCTGGCTGGATGCGGTTGAGGAGCTGCTGTCTCGAGACGCCAGCGGCTTCAGTCACGGCGACAAACTACAGGAAGAACTCAACCAGTGCAAGGTCAGAGGTCAACGCATTCAATAAGTCATTCAGGTGAAAGAGTAATGGTGAATAATCCAGCTAGTTAAATAAAAGCCTCAATATACTCTCAGCAAAGATCTTTTTCATTTTTCATTTAGGGCTAAAAAAGAAGTTTGACATGCTTTTGCTGCGGTATACTGTTATATGTGAATATATGTTGCACACTTTCCTCTCAATAACAAAATAAACGCACAACAAACATGACATCGGTGATAAAATGTCAGTCAAATGGATAGTTCAGCCGAAAATGTACATTTGCTGTTAGTTTACTCACCCTCAGGTCATCCGAGATGTAGTTCACTTGTTTTCTTGAGTACAACAGATGACTTTTAGCTGAAACCATGGTTCTTGGTGATTTATAAAATGAAAGTCAATGGCTACCGGCACTTTGAGAGTCAAATAAAAGCATATACAGGAAACACACAATTGATACCGGTGGCTCTTGACGATATATTGAGGTCTTATGAAGCGAAACGATCAGTCTGTGCGAGAAACTGAACATTATTTATAACATTACCTTTAAACCTGATGTGAAACGTGGATGTTTTACATGTCTAAAGCACATAATGTGAACAAACTAGTCTCCATCAGCTCACCTTTTCACATAAACAATGAGAAACCATCAAAAAGTTGATTTGGTCTCGCTTCATGCGTGTTCATATCACAGGCTCATCTGTTGGAGGAACTGGAGCACTGAATCAGTTCATTCATCACAGGATCAGATACCCCGCTATTTGGGCTCATTTCGAGTCAGAGTGACTGTCAGGCATCTGAAAGTGAGTTTTGATTGAGGAACTTGTAGATCTATGCTGCTCGAGCCGCAAACAGTTTCAGACGCTTCAGTCAGATTTGGTGAACTGGTTCAACTAGTTCACTAAAAATAATTGGTTCAAAAAAATGATTCACTCACAAACTGAACATCATTTCGGACCGTTTGTCTGAGACTCTGGATTACAGGTAATAATGTTGTAAATAATGTTCAGTTTCTTGCACAGACCGATCGTTTCACTTCATAAGACCTTAATATATCGGCAGGAGCCATGAATACTAATTTTGTGTTCCCTGGTATGCTTTTTTTGACTCTCAAAGTGAAGGTAGCCATTGATTTGCATTTTATCAAGGACCACAGTTTCAATTAAAAATCTTCTTTATTGTTCTACTGAAGAAAATGGTCATCTACATGTGGGATGGCCTGAGGATGAGTAAATTAACAGCAAATGTTCATTTTTAGGTGAATTATCAATTTAAGAAAGCATCTGATCATAGCAATGTGGATTTGCATGCATGAGCATGCGATTCAAAACTCCATGTTATACAATAGATTGCTTTAAAGCAAGCAACTTTTCAGTATTAAACTTAAATAAGCAGTGTCAGTGCAGCTTTCAGTTAAAATTACTCTTCAATACCTGCTATAAATCAGCTCTCCAGTGATTGTTTTTACTTGTGGACGTCTGATGGACTGAAACAAACTCCAAATGAGCTTTGATCGACTTTGTTCACACTAGTTTGTTCTTTGATTTTGCTTGAAGTATATCAGGTCTTTAATGCTGCTAGTTTTACATAGTTTCTAGCTGTTTGCCGCTGGTTTAGTTGGTTTATCAACAGGTCCAGGGTTGTCCTGGTTGACCACCGTGGCTGAGCTGGTGGTGGGCTTGTTGAACTGGTTTGCTAATCATAGTTTAAACTGGTTGAGAAATCAGCTGAAGTTGATGGTTGAGCAATTTCCTCAGCAAAACCGAAACGTTAGAGTTTCTGTGGAGTTGATAGTGATGTTTGAGATGTGTCTGTGCAGGAGCTGCTGAGTGAGATGGAGAGCATGGCCTCGTCTCTGAAGCAGATAAAGGAGAACGTGGCAGCCGTGCAGCAGAGCTCAGGACCGGGTCTGATCAGCTGGGGGCAGACGGAGCTGGACGACAATCAGAGACGCTGGGACACGCTCAGTAAAGAGGCGAGAAAGAGAAACACAGAACACTGAATGCAATGGCCTTAAAGGGATAGTTCACCCAAAAATGGAAATGTGATGTTTATCTGCTTACCCCCAGGGCATCCAAGATGTAGGTGACTTTGTTTCTTCAGTTGAACACAAACTGAGATTTTTAAGTCAAACCGTTGCAGTCTGTCAGTCATATAATGGAAGTGAATGGGAATCACGGCTTTGAGAGTCTAAAACATACATAAACAAAACCAAATTAAACCCTTGTGACGATACATTGATGTGTAAAGACACGAAACGATCGGTCTGTGCAAGAAACTGAACAGTATTTATATAGTTTTTTTTTAACCTCTGAATTAGTGCTGGGCGGTATTACCAAAAATTTTTATCACGGTGTTTTTCCAAATTATGTTCGTGTGTGTGAGACGCGGGAGCTGATGGCAGGGGGCGCTGGATATTTGCGGCGGTCAGTGTGGATATTGTGGAGGAGTTCTTCTGTGTCATCACGGTCTATTAGTTCTACAGCTTCAGTTTAGGAACGTTCACGCTTAGTAACACATACAGCTGTTCCCTCACCACAGTGCAACAGTGAAAAGAGACCCCTTTCAAACAGTGTCGCGTTCCGAACATTGTTTAAGCGACATGCATTTTGCGGTATTTAAAAAATTTATATCATAACAAAAATAAACAACGGTATTCGGTATGAACCGGTATACCGCCTAGCAATACTCTGAATTACTGCAATGTCCGAACTGTCCTGAGCGCGTTTGCGTCTTCTTAAGCCAGCGTGTGACGCGTCGTCTTCTTCTTCTTGCTTTACGGCGGATCGCAGAATTATAAGTGCATTACCGCCACCTATCTACAATCTCAATTAGGAGCGTCAATGGTCCATTTGAGAGATAGGTGGCATTTGTGTTCTACTGAAAAAACAAAGTCACCTACATCTTGGATGCCCTGGGGGTAAGCAGATAAACATCAAATTTTCATTTTTGGGTGGACTATCCCTTTAACATATATTAGCTACACAGCAAGGGAAGAGCTTGTACAAGGTGGTTTAAGTTTCAGTAAGCCACTTCCCAACCCGGCTTGATTCAGGAACATGTTCTTCTGGGATAAGTCATGTTACGTGGATTTTGTTTGCAGTTGTTGAGGCGTGAGGAGCGTGTGAGTGAAGGTCAGGAGAAAGTGATGAATCTGAAGAAAGACGTGGCGGAGATGCGCGAGTGGATGATTCAAGTGGACGAGGAGTTTCTCATGAGAGACTTTGAGTACAAGAGCCCAGAGGAGCTGGAGGAGGCGCTGCAGGATATGAAGGTGCGTATGAGTAGGTTGAAAATAACAGATCTATAATAACTTTCATTATTAATATTGATTAATTATTTTATGCATTCTATATTGTGTTGCGTATTAATGTACAGTTATAATTCTTGTATTTTCCAATGCTATTTTAGTATTATTTATATACTGTTATACCATTTATTAATTGAATTAGTGTTTTTATATGTTGTTTTTATTTAAATTTTTTAATTTTAGGAATGTTGTTTATGTGCTTTTGCCTTTTGTTTGTTTTATATCTCTATTTAGATTGGATTTTATTTTCTCAGTTTTAGTCATTTTAGTACTTCAACTAATTTTTAGTTAGTTGCAAAGGCAACATATATTAATATTTTCTATTAAAAATTATTTAAATAGTTTCAGTTTTGATAACACGTTTTACTTTTGATTATACATAAACAAGTGATCTGTTAAGGATTATATATTGTTTGTTAAACATTTATTAGTAAAACATAATGTAAAGTTGTACCTTTTTATGATTAAAACTAATTTCGAGCAGGTTGTAAATGCCAGCTAGTTTTGGTATCATGTAAGATTTTTTTTGAATGTGTTATTGTTTTATTGTGACTGTGTTATTTATAGTTTTTTTTTTATCTGTATTATTTTATTTTTTATTATTTTTTCTAAAGCTCTGACAATGTTAGTCAAGTTTCTTGTGTCAAAGGCATAATTGTGCCAAAGGTTTTTCATGATAATTTTCTTCCTTCCTATTTATTTACATACTCCCTTACTTAAAGACTTTTGTGTACGTGTTCTCTCTCTTTCTGTGTGTTTCAGAGGGCTAAAGAGGATGTGTTACAGAAGGAAGTGCGTGTAAAGATTTTGAAGGACAGCATTAATGTGCTGATTGGAAAGACGCCCCCTGGTGGTCCTGACCTGAGCCCTGAGCTCACTGAAGTGCTGCAGAACTACCAGAAACTCTGTGATCGCTTCAAGAGCAAGTGCCACACGCTTGAGGTACACATACACACACACACACACAGAGGAAGACTTGCTATTGGACAGCCCTGCTCCAGATGTGGTTTGGCTCCTCTTTGGATGTTTAGCTGAAGTCTGATGTGTTTGTACTGATGTTCAGGAGGTGTGGTCCTGCTGGATCGAGCTGCTGCAGTATCTGGAGGCGGAGTCTGGCTGGTTGAACACACTGGAGGAGAAAGTTCAAGCCACTGAAAACATCCCAGAAAACACAGAGTCTATCAGCGAGGCTCTGGAGGTAACGGCTTTCATGCTAAAGGTGTGGTTTAGCACGCTCAACAAATTTTTGCAGCCAAAATCCAATATTTTCAATATCAATCCACGTCATTGAGAATTTCAAGTGAGGGTGAAAGATTTCCCCAATTAGATTTCGCAAAAGGGTTGGGAATCGAAAATCAATTCCAATTCCAGAATCGGAAACTTGTTGTAAAATTAAAATTTTGATTCCGACCTTCCTCGCTAATCTAAACTCTCCAATATTTGGCTTCGATCAGAAGCTGTAGCAGCTAAGTACAATATCTGTGATAAGCTAAACATGTTGCAAGAGAGGTGTCACCACCAACATGTCAAAGCACTTTAATTTAACAGATCTTTAAAGATCACAAACACCAATGTGATCTTCTTCCTAAATGACAACGTTTCAACTGGTAAACTTTTGGCATGTGCGATCATAACGGTGAGATCATAAAACTGCTTCACAAACAGTTATTTTCAACAGCACAGTATCATTATTTCTGTTTTGCAAACATTAAAATAATCACAGAAGTACGGGGATAGAAGATTGTAGTTTGGAAATAAACACTGATGTGTACGGTAGCGATCAAATTTGAGTAAATCACCTTTTGAAAGTAATTTGACACTTCAAATAAAGATTTATTGATTACTTTGTTACACCAGTAGGTGGCGAAAAGGGGCTGTTAAAATGTATTTGTCTTTGAATCATTCATTCAAGAGATTCATTCAAAAACTGATTCATCCAGTGATAAAACAAGTCAATCTTGAGTGAGTCATCGAATCATTCATTCAAAATTACATGTGATTTTGTTTAGTTGTCTAATGTTTTTTCTTCAGAATCTTGAGAGACCCACTAGCTCCATTAAAATAAATAAATAAATAACTAAATAAATAAAAAAACTCAATTTATCCAGAATTGTGCAGCTCTAATTTGCATACAAACAGCTCTTAATTGAATCCAGTTTTTTGTGTAGCCTGCTGAATTTTGTTCTTGGTATTCAGCAACTATATGTTTTGCAAGAAGAGACACAGAATAATTGTGACCACAAAACCAGTCATAAGGGTACATTTTTCGAAATTGAGATTTATGCATCATCTGAAAGCTGATAAATAAGCTTTCCATTGATGTGTGGTTTGTTAGGATAGGACAGTATTTGACCGAGATACAACTATTTGAAAATCTGGAATCTGAGGGTGCAAAAATAAATACAAATATTGAGAAAATTGCATTTAAAGTTGACCAAATGAAGTCCTTAGCAATGCACATTACTAATCAAAAATTACATTTTGATATATTTACAGTAGGACATTTACAAAATATCTTCATGGAACATGATCTTTACTTAATATCCTTATGATTTTTGGCATACAAGAAAAATTGATAATTTTGACCCATACAATGTATTGTTGGCTATTGCTACAAATATACTCGTGCTACTTATGACTGGTTTTGTGCTCCAGGGACATATATGTTTTATATCTAAATGTTTGACTAAATTATTTTAACCACATTGGAATCGTTAAGAATCGGAGTTGATAAAATTCAAATGATACCCAACCCTATTTGGCAACAAGTTCAAGCTGCTCACACAGATTTGCTGCGCTGATCAACAGAAAGTGATACATTGCTACATTATTGACAATAGATTGTTTTGCTCACAAAATGACCAGACCTTAAGTGTTACAAATACAATGTGAGCACATATGTTTTTAGATTGTCTGATTGAGTGATCAGATCACGTTTTGAACACAGAGTCGGATGTTAAAAGTATGTCCATGGCATAAATGGGAGTCCTGATGTGTCTCTCTTTCAGTCTCTGGAGTCGGATCTGCGTCATCCGGGTGATAACAGGACTCAGATCCGAGAGCTGGCCCAGACTCTCATAGATGGAGGCATTCTGGATGAACTCATCAGCGAGAAACTGGAGAACTTCAACTCGCGCTACGAAGAACTGACTCAGCTGGTGTGTTCGTTTTGAACAGAACAAATGATTCACCAGAACTGATTCAGATTCACATCATATGTGTGCAGTGTTACATTCATGTGTGTGTTGTAGGCTGCTGCACGTCAGATGTCTCTGGAGCAGAAGTTGGGGACTCTGAGAGAGAACGAGACGGCGTTACACACACTACAGACGTCCCTCACACAGCTGGACCAAACGCTCACCTCGTACCTCACCGACCGCATCGACGCCTTCCAGCTGCCTCAGGAAGCTCAGGTATGAGCTCCTCGTTCAAACCACACTCTTCTGACATGTAGATATTCAGAGATATCCAATAACCAATGACAGATATATCATTATATTACTTGTATAATACTATAATACTCTTTTACTCTTGTGCCTTTAACATTAAAAATGCTCTCTGCAGGTCATTCAGGCCGAGATCGTGGCCCATGAGGCCACACTGGAGGATTTGAGGAGGAGGAATGTAGGTAACGTGCCTCCGACTGTCCCAGAGGGCAAACCAGTGCGAGGAGGGACCCTACTGGACCAGTTACAGGTTAGACACAATACTGCCCCCACAGGACAGGAGCGGTAATGCAAATCACTAGACTGTGTTTTTTTTTTTCACACTGTTCATACTTCACCATGGTTTAGTTAATTACCAAATCCTGGGGGCTGTTTCATAAAACAAGTTTACCAAATAAGCCAGGCTTATTTCAGTTAGTCTGACTCGTTGTCAAATGATTTGGTTCCATAAAGCAAATTTACCTTAGCTCAAGCTCAGTCACTGTGGCAACTTATGCTGGGAAACTAACCTGGGCTGCGTTTCCCAAAAGCATCGTAAGCGTAAGTACATCGTAGACACATTGAACCCAATGGAGCTACTTATGATGCTTATTGGAAACGCAGCCCTGATCCGGAGCAGGCTACCTGTCAGGCTGAACTGAGATCCTCTAACACTGAGCAATAGCAAAGACTATAGAATACCCAAGACGTGTCACTCGTATAGTTTTGAATGGGGAAAAATGCAATGCTCAATATGGCCGCTCAGTCGCAGGAAGCCCCGCCTTCTGAATGAAAGAGCCAATCGCTAATGGTCCTGCTGGATCGAGCTGCTGCAGTATCTGGAGGCGGAGTCTGGCTGGTTGAACACACTGGAGGAGAAAGTTCAAGCCACTGAAAACATCCCAGAAAACACAGAGTCTATCAGCGAGGCTCTGGAGGTAACGGCTTTCATGCTAAAGGTGTGGTTTAGCACGCTCAACAAATTTTTGCAGCCAAAATCCAATATTTTCAATATCAATCCACGTCATTGAGAATTTCAAGTGAGGGTGAAAGATTTCCCCAATTAGATTTCGCAAAAGGGTTGGGAATCGAAAATCAATTCCAATTCCAGAATCGGAAACTTGTTGTAAAATTAAAATTTTGATTCCGACCTTCCTCGCTAATCTAAACTCTCCAATATTTGGCTTCGATCAGAAGCTGTAGCAGCTAAGTATAATATCTGTGATAAGCTAAACATGTTGCAAGAGAGGTGTCACCACCAACATGTCAAAAGCACTTTAATTTAACAGATCTTTAAAGATCACAAACACCAATGTGATCTTCTTCCTAAATGACAACGTTTCAACTGGTAAACTTTTGGCATGTGCGATCATAACGGTGAGATCATAAAACTGCTTCACAAACAGTTATTTTCAACAGCACAGTATCATTATTTCTGTTTTGCAAACATTAAAATAATCACAGAAGTACGGGGATAGAAGATTGTAGTTTGGAAATAAACACTGATGTGTACGGTAGCGATCAAATTTGAGTAAATCACCTTTTGAAAGTAATTTGACACTTCAAATAAAGATTTATTGATTACTTTGTTACACCAGTAGGTGGCGAAAAGGGGCTGTTAAAATGTATTTGTCTTTGAATCATTCATTCAAGAGATTCATTCAAAAACTGATTCATCCAGTGATAAAACAAGTCAATCTTGAGTGAGTCATCGAATCATTCATTCAAAATTACATGTGATTTTGTTTAGTTGTCTAATGTTTTTTCTTCAGAATCTTGAGAGACCCACTAGCTCCATTAAAATAAATAAATAAATAACTAAATAAATAAAAAAACTCAATTTATCCAGAATTGTGCAGCTCTAATTTGCATACAAACAGCTCTTAATTGAATCCAGTTTTTTGTGTAGCCTGCTGAATTTTGTTCTTGGTATTCAGCAACTATATGTTTTGCAAGAAGAGACACAGAATAATTGTGACCACAAAACCAGTCATAAGGGTACATTTTTCGAAATTGAGATTTATGCATCATCTGAAAGCTGATAAATAAGCTTTCCATTGATGTGTGGTTTGTTAGGATAGGACAGTATTTGACCGAGATACAACTATTTGAAAATCTGGAATCTGAGGGTGCAAAAATAAATACAAATATTGAGAAAATTGCATTTAAAGTTGACCAAATGAAGTCCTTAGCAATGCACATTACTAATCAAAAATTACATTTTGATATATTTACAGTAGGACATTTACAAAATATCTTCATGGAACATGATCTTTACTTAATATCCTTATGATTTTTGGCATACAAGAAAAATTGATAATTTTGACCCATACAATGTATTGTTGGCTATTGCTACAAATATACTCGTGCTACTTATGACTGGTTTTGTGCTCCAGGGACATATATGTTTTATATCTAAATGTTTGACTAAATTATTTTAACCACATTGGAATTGTTAAGAATCGGAGTTGATAAAATTCAAATGATACCCAACCCTATTTGGCAACAAGTTCAAGCTGCTCACACAGATTTGCTGCGCTGATCAACAGAAAGTGATACATTGCTACATTATTGACAATAGATTGTTTTGCTCACAAAATGACCAGACCTTAAGTGTTACAAATACAATGTGAGCACATATGTTTTTAGATTGTCTGATTGAGTGATCAGATCACGTTTTGAACACAGAGTCGGATGTTAAAAGTATGTCCATGGCATAAATGGGAGTCCTGATGTGTCTCTCTTTCAGTCTCTGGAGTCGGATCTGCGTCATCCGGGTGATAACAGGACTCAGATCCGAGAGCTGGCCCAGACTCTCATAGATGGAGGCATTCTGGATGAACTCATCAGCGAGAAACTGGAGAACTTCAACTCGCGCTACGAAGAACTGACTCAGCTGGTGTGTTCGTTTTGAACAGAACAAATGATTCACCAGAACTGATTCAGATTCACATCATATGTGTGCAGTGTTACATTCATGTGTGTGTTGTAGGCTGCTGCACGTCAGATGTCTCTGGAGCAGAAGTTGGGGACTCTGAGAGAGAACGAGACGGCGTTACACACACTACAGACGTCCCTCACACAGCTGGACCAAACGCTCACCTCGTACCTCACCGACCGCATCGACGCCTTCCAGCTGCCTCAGGAAGCTCAGGTATGAGCTCCTCGTTCAAACCACACTCTTCTGACATGTAGATATTCAGAGATATCCAATAACCAATGACAGATATATCATTATATTACTTGTATAATACTATAATACTCTTTTACTCTTGTGCCTTTAACATTAAAAATGCTCTCTGCAGGTCATTCAGGCCGAGATCGTGGCCCATGAGGCCACACTGGAGGATTTGAGGAGGAGGAATGTAGGTAACGTGCCTCCGACTGTCCCAGAGGGCAAACCAGTGCGAGGAGGGACCCTACTGGACCAGTTACAGGTTAGACACAATACTGCCCCCACAGGACAGGAGCGGTAATGCAAATCACTAGACTGTGTTTTTTTTTCACACTGTTCATACTTCACCATGGTTTAGTTAATTACCAAATCCTGGGGGCTGTTTCATAAAACAAGTTTACCAAATAAGCCAGGCTTATTTCAGTTAGTCTGACTCGTTGTCAAATGATTTGGTTCCATAAAGCAAATTTACCTTAGCTCAAGCTCAGTCACTGTGGCAACTTATGCTGGGAAACTAACCTTGGCTGCGTTTCCCAAAAGCATCGTAAGCGTAAGTACATCGTAGACACATTGAACCCAATGGAGCTACTTATGATGCTTATTGGAAACGCAGCCCTGATCCGGAGCAGGCTACCTGTCAGGCTGAACTGAGATCCTCTAACACTGAGCAATAGCAAAGACTATAGAATACCCAAGACGTGTCACTCGTATAGTTTTGAATGGGGAAAAATGCAATGCTCAATATGGCCGCTCAGTCGCAGGAAGCCCCGCCTTCTGAATGAAAGAGCCAATCGCTAATCGGTAAAGTCAGCGTGTCACTGCAGCTGACGTTAGAAGTCCTGGTTGCTATAGAAACAGTCAGCGTTCTGAGACGTGCTCTTAGGACTGCGCATGCGCACTGGCTGATCTAGCCTGAAAAATACGCTTTTCATAACGCTATTTGAGCAAAAGAAACTACATTTATAATACTGTTGTTGTCAGATTTCATTGGTGATTTCAAATTTAATCGTAAGCTTAGTGAACAGTTTTGGAGAATTTGATGTTTCCCCATTCAAAGCTGCGCTTGCATGCCTGAGAGGCGTTTCAAAGATGGCCGCCGAGTGACATGACTTGCTTAAAGGGGTGGTTCATTGCGATTTCACTTTTGTAACTTTAGTTAGACTGTAATGTTGCTTGCATGCCATAAACAATATCTGCAAAGTTACGAAGCTGAAAGTTCAATGCAAACGGAGATATCGTCTTTTAAAATTCTGGCAGTTTAATGCCTACAAAAATGGCTGGTAGGGACTACAACCGGGTTCGTGACGTAACAAACCCAATAAACCCCGCCCTCGGGAAAAGGCAGCAAAGGGGGCGAGGCCATGCGCTGCTTTAGAGACGAGGAAGAGAAAACTAGAGGAGCACGTAAAAATCTGTTCATATCCACCTTTTTCTTGTCGTAAAAATGGGCTCGGCCATTTGTAAATTCTATGGGTCTGGCTTCCGGTCTCATCTGCGTCCAGCTATTTTTAGCTGTACAAAACAGTTCGTTTTGCTGCTTGATATTGAAAGTTGGTGTGTCTTATCATATTATTTTAGTGCATTATCTTAATTATGAACACTGGTTTGTAGTGCAAACAGTTTTACCGTTTACTGCACGTTGTTATTCTCCTCGTTATTTACCTATAGCGGCTAATGAACCGGAAGTCTCACCCATAGGCTCACTTCCGCGTTGAAGAAAAAGATGGATATGAATCGCGATTCTGTCTTCTAACGATTCTAATGGATTCACAAGTTTCAAAATCAATGTTCTAAAGCAGCTGTTCTCAATACTGTTCCTCGCGTCCCCCTGCTCTGCACATGCTCTGCATCTCTCTCTCTC